ACACACACACACACACACACACACACACACACACACACACACACACAATTAAAAATTACTCCAAAACCAAAAATCCACCCACCCCTGGCAGGATTCCAAGTCCTGTCAGCCAATCAGACCTCCATTCCAGCCAAGTAAGGAAAGGAGGTTAAATCTGTTCCTGGAGTACCCCCCGCCCCCACCATGCTGAAGTTCTGGGGACTAATGGCTGCTACTTCCTGATTCCGGCTTCTCTGAGTGGTAAGGCTGCTCTTCTTAATGCTCCACAGAGCTCTGGGTACAGAGTCTGCCTCTATGATTCTGGCCATTTTCCCTAAACATCTTCAAAGACAATAACAGACTCTTGGAGGCTGCTTTTTGTGGTGACATCACTGTCCAGCTCAAGCATAAACTCTTGACAGCTACCTGAATGCCCTAATCTGGTTTTGGGCTTTTGTTGTTGTTGTTTGAGTTTTAAGTAGGAGGAATACAGCATCGGTAACAAAAGGAGATGTTTTATTTTGTTCATACACAGCCTTTTCTTTCCCCACAAACTCAAACTGCACAGGTAAAGAAAGAGCTTTACTTGAACACTGCCAGCTTCCTAGGCTGCCAGCTTTAGGAGTTTGGATGAAGCCCAGAGAGCCTCAAGCCTCAGCGTAGATTTGTTTCCCAACAAAGCCACGAGGGAAGTGAGAGTTCTGCAATTCCAGGAGTCAGGAGACCGTCCCGGCCGGAGAGCACAGACCTGAGCCAGAAGAACCTTGTGGACGTTTCGTTCAGCCTCTCCTGAGAGCTGTCTACTCACGAGCCTTCCAGGTACCCACGGAATTCCTGAGGCTCAGCTTGGCTCAGAAGTGCTTTAGGCATTTGGAAGCTCTGGCTCCCATCATGAAGAACTTGACTTGGAATGTTTTGTGCAGACACCAATGTTAGCGCATGCAGTAAACGTGGTGGTCTTTCCTCTGCTGTCCTGGGCTCTACCGTGTGGAGCCCAGATAGGACTTAGTGTACACCTGGGGACGCTACCCTAGACTGAGTGCAGTGTACACACGTTTAATGCGAGGGCTCCGTAATGAGACCCTTTCCCAAACAAAACCATTCCCGTGCCAGAGCCAGACCCTGGCCACAGTGACCTTGATGACACACCCAGTGACAATTCAGCTTCCCTAGTTTCCCGAGCCCAGTCATCCAGATCATTTCCTCCTTAGCTTTGCATGGTTGGCTGACATTTCCATGAGGGCCCTTGAGTATCTTCACTCATGGTGGCCTGCTGTCAATCTTGACAGTGATTCCTTTCTCCCCTGACCTCCCTTCATGTTGTAGTACATCTGAAGGATAAAATAAAGTCTTTCCTTCCAAGCTCCTTTTATTGATTGTGTTGGCTAGTTTTATGTCCACTTGACACAAGCTAGAATCAATTGAGAAAATTCTTCCACAAGATCTGTCCGTAGAGGATTTTTTGACTTAGTTATTGATGCGGGAGGGCCCAGCCTATTGTGGGTGGTGCCATCCCTGGGATGGTGGTCTTGGGTTCTATAAGAAAGCAGGCTGAGCAAGCTATGGGGAGCAAGCCAGTAAGCAGCAGCCTCCATGGACTCAGCATAAACTCCTGCCTCAAGTTTTCTGCCCTCTTTGAGCTTGTGTCCTGACTTCCTTCAGTGATAAACAGTGATGTGTAAGTATAAATCAAATAACTTGCTCTCCGAGTTGCCTTTGGTCATGGTGTTTCATCATAGCAAGTAACTAACTAGGACAGACTTTTTTTTATTATTATTAATTATTACAGCAATGGAAACCCTAAGCCACCAGAAAACACCTGGCTCAGACCCAACCTCCAGTACAGGAATTTTAATCCAGCAATATGGCTGCTCTTATCACATCCAAAGACCTTCTAGTTCTGTGTGATCTGGCTGGAATGCAGACATAGCAGACACCTTTAGTCCCTTTGTTTGGAGTACAGACATACCCTTAGTAGACACACCTTTAATTTCAAACTAATGTCTAATTGAGGGACAGACAAAGTGATAAATCAGAGAAAGATTTAACAGAATAAGTCAGGGATAGGATATAGCCAATTCTCGTTAGAACAGACAGGAAAGAGGTGACTTAGCAGTGCAGAGAGAGAGAGGCAGATAATTTCAGTCAGTTCAGTTGAGTGGAGCTGAGTTCAGGCAGTTGAGTGAGTGCAGTGTGGTGGAGTTGAGTTTGTTCATGAGTTTGTAAAAAAGACATTAACATCAGAGAATAAGAAGGAACCAGAAGATTAGAACAAATTGCCAGAGTTAGTTTGAGGCCTAGCAGAGCAATTCGGTGAGAAGCCAGATTGAACCAGTCAGCTTGAAGTCAGGTTTGAGCTAGAACAGCTGAGTTGAACTAGCCAGCCAGAGTTCAGAAAGAACTAGAAAGTGTAAGCTTATTCAGCAGTAAGCCTCCAAGATGACAATTACATCTGGTGAATAAAAGTTACATTTACAAGGTAACACCTGAGTTGATTTTTCACTGAACTTATTTTGATGAAATCATAAAATCATGGCATTTTCCACTCTAATTACTTTATATTATATTTCAAATGCAAATTTTTTTTTTTTAACTAAACAACTTATCAGATACCAAGTGTCTCTGTACTTGTCCAATGTGACACTCATTTGCAAGTCTGGGTCAGGGGTAGGCTCAAGAGGGAAGGAAAGAATGCCAACCCCCAACCAGAGATCTTCAACAAACACTTGGCCCAAACCTCGATGTTGCTAACAAATGGTTGATGCCAAATCACACCAGAGAGCAACAACTTTTCCTTGGGGGCCAAGTCCCTTTTGGGGGAGTAGACGGAGATGTTGTCCTGACCTTTCCCTCCCTTTGTAGCTGACTCTGGAAGTCAAGTGCTCCTCTGGAAGTGTCACAAACCCAAAAAATCACTGGGAAGCAGGAAAAAGCCAGGCATGTAGTCAGTGTGATATGAGGCCATTTGTGAGACATACCCTGCCTACTATCTGTAGAGGAGAAGAGGACTGAGGGAAACACGTTTGTATTCTGTGTTATAAAGATGCTCTAGTACTGCATATCATAAAAAGGAACTGGCATGTACACGTTATTAATAGCTTAGCACATGTCTATTGTTAATGATGCATGTGTTTTGAGTTAACAGCCACCCCTGGCCCAGATGACCCTGGAAGAGTACAAAGTTGATACCAGCTGACATTAAATTAATGGGACTCACCATTTTGAAAGGTGCCTGGACCCAACCATCCACAGAGAGAGGGAGGAAGGCACACAGAGACATACATAAGTACATAATTAAAAATGAAAAATAAGGGCTGGAGAGATGGCTCAGAGGTAAAGAGCACTGATTGCTCTTCCAGAGGTCTTGAGTTCAATTCCCAGCAACCACATGGTGGCTAACGACCATCTATAATGAGATCTGGTGCCCTCTTCTGGTGTTCAGGTGTACATGCAGACTGAACATTGTATACATAATAAAATAAATAAATCTTTAAAAAAAAAAGTACTTAAAAAATAAAAATAAATCTTTCTTAGAAATACCACGTGAATAGATATAGATATCAGAACCCAATAGAAACAGATGCTGTCACAGCCAAACATTGGGCGGAACACAAGGAGTCTTGTGGAAGAGTTGGGAGAGATGGAAAGACTCAGAGGGGCAGAAGCTCCACAAGAAGAGCAACAGAGCCAACTACCCAGAGCAGGGGGCCTCGTGGAGATGAAGCACCAACCACGGACCATGCATGGACTGGACCCAGGCCCCTACACGGATGTAGCCAACGGGCAGCTTGGTCATCGAATAGATTCCCTAGTAGGGGAAATGGGTGACTGTGACATGGACTCTGTTGCCTGCTTTTTGATCACTTCCCCTGGCAGAGCTGCCTCGCCAGGCCACAGGGAAAGAGGATGCGCTCAGTCCTGATGCAACTTGATGTGCCAGGGTGGCTTGGTGGGGGGGGGTTCCCCTTCTCTGAGGAGTAAGGAAGGGGGGATAGGGAAAGAGGGAGGGAGGGTGGGACCAGGAGGAGAGGAGGGAAGGGGCTTTGATGGGGATATAAAGTGAATAAATAAATAAAAATAATTTAAAAAAAGAAAATAACAGACCTAGAATCCAGTCATTTTCAATTTGTAGTAAGTCTCAGCTATTGTAATTCAAGCAAATCAACTTTTTCTCCCCTTGCAGTGCTGGAGATAGAGTCCCGGCTTTGCATGTGGAGGCCAACTCTCATCAGTGAGCTGTATCCCCGTTCACAGCATCCCTGCCTTTTTTCATTTTCAGACTCTTACTATTCAACCCAGGCTGGCCTCAAACTCCCGATTCTCTTGCCTTAGCCTCCTGAGTGCTTGGGTAACTGGCATGGGACACCATGTTTCGTCTAAATCAATTTACCTAAAAAGCATACTTTTTTCCTATCAGAAAATTTTCTCTGTTGAGTCTCTACTTGGGAAAATTTTCCTTTCTTCCACCTAAACCTCCTCATGTAGGCAATGCTAGACATGAACGCTAGTATTCCTGTCAGGAGTCCACATATTTGCATCTTCTTGTCCCACCATGTACAGCTTGCAGCCCCAAAGTCATCCCTTTGTTTAACAAAGCAATTGTGGTTCCAGACATGTACATGGCTGTAGCTCTCCTCAAGGGAATTTGAAGTATTTGCTCAGCTTGGAAGTCAGGGTTATTTTACTGGGAAAATGGTGAGAATGGATATCAGGAAACAAACGACTGCCTCTTCCATAGGCATGTGTGATGTGCCAGGAGCTGTGCTGGCGGCTAAGTGCACGAATAAGTGAGAGACAGGGTTAGGATCGGGGTCAGGGTCAGGGTCAGGGTTAGGGCAGAGCAGAGACTTTGCAGTGCAGTATAATAAGCACAAACACAACAAAGGAAAACACACAAAACCAAGTAAAGGAGAGTTTGTGATAGCAGAGTCAAGAGCAGATCAGAAAAGTTTTCTCGGGGAATTTTTACTCTCAGCCTTGAAGGTCAACAAAATATCTGCCAAGT